GACCCATGAAGCCAAAACCAAAAAAATACCCAAAAAGAACCCGGATGGACCCTCGACCTGAGACCCATCCTTGTGACTGTTAGACATTTTCTAGCATACATACCTCAAAAAACAAAAAAAAACACCAAAAAAAACCAAAAAAAATACCAAAAAAAATCCTGGACCCTGGACCAGCGACTTCACAATGTGATCCTTGGCCGGAAGGTAGACGATCTCTTCGACGCAGACTTCTTATCCTTGATCTCTGTAACTTCACAGGAGCTTCGCCAAGGCTCGGCGTTTTTTTGTAGACACAGCACTCAATGCCGAGGAAGAGGCATCACCGCAGAAGGAGGAGGTCTTTTTCCCGAAAGTCTCCTTCTTGTAGCCACAGACGCGGGACCTGGTTACATCGGAACGTCTGTGGTACCTGACGAACATTGCACGAATTCCACAAATGGTCATCTTTACGTCATGAGATCAGCGGGGATCGCTCAGTGAAGTTCGTTTTATGGTCCACCCTACCCTCCCCCTCCTCGACCACGTGACATGTCATGCGTTTTGAGACAAGTCCGGACTGTTGCTCAGAAGACTACTTGGATACAAAATAACCTCGCCCTCCAAAACTGGCTTGCCCATTCGCCGACCTTCGCTTCGGCCCTATCCGAAACTCGGCTGATCGTTTCGCTATTGCTTGTCTCAATAGGCAAATCATCATGAGCCGCGGGGACACACCAGCGCAAAGGAACAGCGGCAGACGAAGTAAGAACTCGCAGGTCCGAGCCGCCTCAGTCCCCGGCCTTGAAGTCACACTTTTAAGGCCCAGAGAAAGGGTTCGCAAGAAAGCAGACAGTTTGTGCTTTGAAGGTGATTGAAAGCCGTGCGGATTTAGCGGACTTCTTGACCGAGCGTGGAGACCTTCTGCCCGGGGAGCGGCCTGCACCCCAGAGGGCACTGCAACTGCTGCACCCCTTTCACCATAAGCCTTTGTGGCGTGGGTGAACCCCACGGTGCCTGCCTTTCGGAGCTCCAACTCCTGGACCCACCCTAGCTCTTGGCGCATCTCCCCCTTCCCAATGCAAAATCGGAAGAGAAGGATGGTGAGGTCTTCGAGAGAGGGAGAGGGGGAGAGAGAACTTCTGCTTTTGCTTCGGCACAGAAGCTATGGCGCTTGCGTTTTTGAGGCAAGCGCTGTTGGAGCGAGACCGCTGACGGCCAGCCGGACGGCTGCAGTTTCTCCGAGAAAAGGAATAGCGGACGCGGCTTCAGCTTCTTGGTGCTCGCATCAGGGTGAAGTCACTGAGACGACCGTGTCGCTGGTGAAGGCTCAAGTCTCGCGAGATTTGTGCTGAGTGTCGAGGCCGCGCAGCCCGGGTTTGCGACAGGGCCGATAGGGCCGAAGAGCGGCTGAAGTACCGTCGCTTCGAGGCCATGGCGCTCAGCATCGGTGCTTCCAAAGTTGGTTTTGCTGGAGGAGGCCCACAGAAGCAGCGCCGCTCTGATTCTGGGGAGCTTGGGAGGCTTTTCAACGAAAGCCTGTCGGCGGAGGGTTTGCATCCATTTCTTTCCCCTTCGGATGTTTCGACCCTTGAGCCAGTTGAAGTCAGGCTTCAGCTTCAGTCAGGCTTCCGGACAGAAACTGCGTCACAGTGGAATCGGAAGCCGTGGACGGCAGTCCAGCCTTGTTGAGAGAGTTCAGGGGCTTTGCCTGCATCCGTTCTGGCTCGCCTCGGGCCGCCGAGGAGTCAACCTGTAGCAAGATATCCAGCTCTCTTCTCGGTCAGAGCTGGCCAGAGTGGAACATCGACAAAAGCAGGGACAAAAGCAGTCACAAGAAGGGTTTTTGCACATAGTGCATTCATCTCCTCTCTTTTTTCGGGTTCACTCCAGGCCAGTGCGCCCTGCTCCCCCTGCACCGCTCCGTCCCCTCGGCCCCCGCCGTGCTCCCTTGCTCCCCCAACCGGTGCCTTGCAGGTGGGTTCGGCGGCACGGCGATGCGCTATGCCTTGTCGGTGATCCACGGTTACTGCTTCGGGTACTGTGTCTATGCGACCCAGCGTTTCAGACCAGAGCTGGCAGCCGGGATGAGGGATGTTTCGGCAAGGTGCTCGCAGTCAAGCCGACGTTTATCCAGCAGCTCTTCTGCAAGGTAGTAAACTAAAGTTTTAGCAGTGTTCTTCTGTTCCCTTAGCAAGGACACGCCTGGCTGTCCTTGATAGATTGCCCAGCTTGAAGTCCGACGACTGAGTGGACGACGGCCCACAGGTGAATGTTCTGCCATGTGTCTCAGCACTGTAGTGGAGACATGGCAGATGATGAAGGCTTCACGAATCTGCAGTGCAGCTGCATCCAGGCTTCTTTCTTTGATGTTTCGGTGTACACAGGCTTTTCCCCTTTGCAAAAACACACATACCGCAGCTTGTGCATGCTTCTTCTACTTGGCTCGAGGGTGCAAGACGCTGCGCTTTTTGCGAGCAGAGCCACAAGCATCGGCACTAACACCACAGCATGTCTCGCTAAACAGGCCAGCACAGTTCTGGAGCTTGGTGATCAGCATCTCGTTCGGATGGGTGGCACAAGCTCGCTGGGGGGCGTGCAAGCTGAGGATACTTGGAAGGACGAACTGCGCTGTGAGCTGGGGGAGAGGGAAGGGCAGCTCGATCGACAAAGAAGGATTGCGGAGTTGCTCAGTCGCTTTGATGGCGATGGCGGCGATGGCGAAGTCTTGGATGTCTTGGGCCTCGACCTCGACGATAGAGGCCGGGGTTTCATTCTGACGGCAGAGCTGCAGCCTGCCACGCAGCGCTTGATCGACCGCTTGGGCTGCCGTCACCCGGAGACGTTGCAGCGAGTCTCACAAGTCTATGCCTCGGTGGCTCGGCGTCAGGGCAACTCGGCAACTGCAATGCAGCAGCATTCTGACATCTTCTTACATCTTCTGACATATTCTGTCTCTGTCTTTGCCTTTCAACTCTACTCCGCGGCAGGCCTGAGCCTCACCGAACTGAAAGGCTACGTGGCTTGCGTGCTGACGCAGATCTTGCGGGAGCTTGACGCAGGCGCTCCCCAAGCGCACCAAGCGCCCCAAGAACCTGCGACCGGTCCGAGGGGACCAGGCAGGCCGCCAGGCGGCCCAGCCTGCAGCCCAGGCTGTGCTGAGGTGCCTGAACCGAGTGAGCTTCAGCGCTTGATGCAGGCCGGTTTCAGGGGTGCAACGGGCGGGGGATTATTTGGCAGCTTTTTTGTCCAGGAGCTCAGCTCCTTGAACCAGTCGCTGGACCGCAGAGGCAGAGGCTGTGAACTGCCGGAGGAGGAAGGCGCAAGCGCCGCGAGGGGCGACGGCGAAGCCGACGGCGAAGCCGACGGTGCGGAGGGAGAGGAGATGCGGCTTCTGAGGAAGGAGCTCGAGGCGCTGAGCCTCTCCTTGCGATCAGTGAGATCTCGAACCTCCGTGGAGCCGTCGGTGGAGCCGCCGTCGGAGCCTGTCTTTGAGGCAAGGCGCGCAGATGAACTTCGGACACCCCCAGAAAGAGAGGTTCCCGAAGTTCCTTGCGGGCCATGCGGCCTTGCACGCCCTGCGGGATCGGACCCCGCAGTGGCCGCGCCCGCTCAGCGGGATATTCACAGCTTGGGCAGCTATCCACCAGGGGCTGTCATCGATCCAGGCGGCTCAGCTCGAGGGTCGGAGGATGGTTTTTTGACTGTTTCCCGTCCCACCTCGTGTTCGAAAGGCAACACCTATGCACGAGCGCTACGTCATGCACAGAGGCCGAGGCCTCGCCCCATGCAGGAACCTCTCTTTGCTCGCCTACAGCAGGCTGTCGCCGCAGCCTGGTGTAGAGCCTGGTCGTCAGTCAGTTGAAGGGGGCGCGAGAGCGGCGGCGATGGCGATGTGGCCAGTTCGGGAGACAAACGGCACTTGCATCTCGGCCTCAGAACGAGAGCTGGTGTGGAGAGCTGTTTTTTTTCTGGCGACGCCTCTTCAGGTGAGCCTGATCATGCAGTGCTGAGGTGGGATGGGTCCATTGGGGATTAAGAGATTGCTTGTCACCCTATGCAGGCCAATGGCGGATGGCTGGCAGTCCCGCTTGAAGGGTGCGAGCAAGGGCATCGCCCACGGCTGGCAGGTCAAGTGACTCAGTGGTGGAGTGCGGGAGATTTGAGCCAAAGACTCGACTGGCCAGGCCTTTGCGGAGACGATGGATGGGATCTTTGTGCCCGAAGCCGGAGTGGACGCCGTGACCGCGGAGGTAGAGGCCGTGGCTGTGATTGGCCTTGGTCGTGATCAAAGACGTAGAGTCTTGTCGAGTCCTGCCGCAGGACGTGGAAGATTTTAAGGGCGAAGGCGAAGGCCGTGGCAGCCTGGTGGCCCTTAGCTCTCTGCTCCCTGCCCCCGACGAAGGCCTCCATCGGCCGGACGCCGCCCACGACGACGTGCCTTCCATATTCCGGCAGCCGAGTGTTGAGGAGGCGACTTCCGAGGTCGCTTTTGGAGCAGCTATCAGAGCTATCAGCTATCGTGCCAGGTTCGGGAGCTTTTGGAGCAAGAGGGCCTTCCAGCCTTCAGCTGAACCAGCTGCATAAGTCATCTTCAGCTCGGCTCTGCCCTCTGAAGGCACATGTTGGGATCGCTTCTGCCGGGCGCTGAGACTGCAAGGCGAGGGCGACTCATGGCGACTCGAGACGGGAGTGACCGCCCCAGGCCGGGTGCTTCTGCCTGAAGAAGCTCTGCCCTTCGCCAAGACTCCGGGCCGTTTCACTTTGAAGGGCGTGTCCCTGTCCCTGTCCGTGCCAGCCAAGGCCTGGATCGGAGCTCGCAGCCGCCTGGGGCCCAGGTCTGCGGGGCCCGCCCCCGCGCGCGGCGCGCGTCCCTCTCACAACAGGTCTCTCTACGTGCTGGACTGCGAGTCCTCGGCCGCTCGGCCCAAAAGGTGGCGCTTTTACCACCTGTATATGTCTTCTATAATACCGTATAGAGTGCCCTATAAAATGCCGTATAGATTGTCTTATGGAATAATTTGTAGAATACCATCTGAAATACATGGAGAATCAGGAAGAGCCCACGATTTGAGAATTCCCCATTTAAATTGTGGTTTAATGAGTAATGGGTTGCTATGACGGAAATTAGACATTTAGGAGACTAGCCTATAGAATACCTTTCGGAACACCCCTGCTATATGCCTTAGACTCCTTAGACAGTTTCATATAGAATACCCTCAATAAGACCTTACGAGAAACCTTACAAACTAGCTACCATGTATGTATACATACATATGTATGCACCTCCGTGAAAACCCAATAGCCTATTAAATACCTTCTAAAATACCGCCTTTTCCCGAGAGAATAAATTACACAATCTTTTTTTGTGGAATTCTCTATGAAATACCTTGCAGAATGCTCATAAAGTACCTTATATCATACCCCTTATAGAAAACGATCTGGAATACTCTATAGGATACGCTATAGAATACGCACTATGCATGATACCCCCCTGTTTTCCTTACAGGTACCTTATACAATACCTTATAGATAAAGGATGGATGTATGTAGGGAAAGTCAGGAAGAGCTCAAGATCTGAGAACCCCACAGTTAAATCGTAGCTTGTTGGGTAAGGGATATCTATGAAGGAAATCAGGAATCTAGGAGAATAGCGTATAGAATACCTTGCAGAGTGACCCTACTACAAACCTTGAAGATCTTTGAAAACTTTCATATAGAGTTCCCTAGGTAATGCATTATAAACAATGCCCTAAATAATACCTCATAATCTATCCCTATATACCGTATCTATGTCTGATAGAATGCACTCTGGAATGGCATCTGGTTTGGAAAACACAGCGGTTCGATAGCACCAAATTTTCGGAAGCGGTTTCCTTCAGAAAATTTGGTGCTATCGAACCGCGCCTTGTTGGTTTGGAAAACACAGCGGTTCGATAGCACCAAATTTTCGGAAGCGGTTCCTTTCAGAAAATTTGGTGCTATCGAACCGCGCCTTGTTGGTTTGGAAAACACAGCGGTTCGATAGCACCAAATTTTCGGAAGCGGTTCCTTTCAGAAAATTTGGTGCCATCAAACCGCGCCTTGTTGGCCACCAAATTTTCGGAAGCGGTTCCTTTCAAAAACTTTGGTGCTATCGAACCGCGCCTTGTTGGTTTGGAAAGCACAGCGGTTCGATAGCACCAAATTTTCGGAAGCGGTTCCTTTCAGAAAATTTGGTGCTATCGAACCGCGCCCTACCGACCGACTGACTTACTGCCTGACTGGCCCGCACCGTGAACTAAAAAACACCATGCTTGGGTCTCGCGCTGGTATTGTGGCGCCACCTTTGCACAATGGCAGCAACTTGGTCGGCAAGCCCCACAAGGTTTGGACGCCACCAAAATGATCCGCCGGCATATGCTCTGGCTTTTCTGTAACGAAACTTCTGAGAATCACGGTGATGTGAGTGATGTGGGCGAGCGCGGAGGGAGAGATGCTCCAGCAGCCATCATTCTCCTTTGTCGTTGCATCCGGCCATCCTGCGCAGGGGGCTGGCGAGACCTTGTCCGGGCTGGTGCTTCCGGATCCTTGGCTTCGGCTGCTGCGCTGCTGCGCTGACCATGAAGAGTCGCCGTCTGAGGACATGGCAGTGGTGAACTACGCCGGCAGCGACGTCTGCTCAGCTGGCCCCTCGGACGCCTGCGACCGCGCCATCACCGCCACCACCGCTGCGGCTCGGCCAGTCCATTTGCGTGCAGGGAAACGAAGGACGCAAAAAGACGGACGGTTGCCAGAGGTCTGGCAATGACTTGGCCATTTTAAGGTAGGAGTGAGCGTCGGGATCCTGGGTGGTGTCCTCACGGCCATCTTCAGTGCCTCGACTGCTTAAGGAGGCCGAGGCCGTTGAAGGACGTTTTTCGAGGATGAGATGATGATGAGTTGAGGTACGTACAGCGTTTTCTGCTTTGTTCGAAGCTACACCACAGCTGTGCCTCAAGGTCCAGTGGTAGGAGTGCTGGGTGATCGCTTTGGTCGTCGTCCGATGCTTCCCGGCTCACACGGAGCAGCAGCTTCGGATTCGATGCTGAAGGATCGGCATGCGCGGTTGCTCAGGCTCCTTGCTTGCCTCCTCGCCAGCCAGTTCGCAACTATAGTGAGCCTCGCCAAGTTGGCTCCTGCATGCTTACGCCCTGAAGAGGGACTTCAGTGCGTCCACAAGCAGCAAGCTGCAGCAAGCTAAGGAGCTGGGGAGTGTACTACTTCCAGTGGAAGTTCTATTGGTTCTTCGTGGCTTCTTTGATCCCCGCTTTCGTCCCAGCGCAGGCCGGGGCGGCTTCGAAACAGAGACGGGGCGACCGAGGGGCTTCTTCTTCATCGGCGCGTGGCGCCAGGTGCTGCTGTCGATGTGGATCTTGGACATGACGAGCGAACGGAGCCGCGCGTCGGCCTTCGGGCTGCTGGGCGCCGTGCAGGTCCTCTACGGCTTCACGGCGCCCCTGGTGCCCCGGCTAACAAGCTCTAACCAGAAATCTAATCTACAAAATGCTATGGCTGCTATGGGGGCTCTACTAGGTCTTCCACAAGTCTGCATGGACCGTTTTGGCGGTGGTAGGCTGAAGAGCATTGGATTGCTGACCTGAAGAGAAACTGCCCTGACCCTGACGCTTGCCTCAGATGGTCGAGTTCACTGCGGCCTCTGCCAATCCCAGCCTGACGGCCACGGCCCTGAACATGAGCATCACGTGCAAGATGTCTGGGCTCTTTCTGGTGCCCTGTCAGCCCAAAGAGGAGGTCCTCCAATCTGCAGCAATCTGCTTTGCGGCGTGTCACTTCAACAGGCAGTCCTCTTCTTGCCCGAGTCCGCTTCGATCGCTGCGGACGGGGAGGATCCTCGGCCAGGCAGGCAGACTGCACAGGCAGACTGCGCAGGAAGACTGCACAGGCGTCGAATGGCCCTTTGCAGGTTTCTCGGAGGGAGGCGACTCCGCCTCTCAGGGCGATCGATCTCCGAAGAATCAGTCCTTCTACCACTGCAGCTCGGTCAGAGCTGCCCTCCGGCTCGTGCACGGGCCGCACGGGCCGCACGGGCGAAGCTTCGACCTGAGGTTTGCTGCAGCTCCTGCAGAACCCCACAGCCAAGGCCCGCCTAAAGCCCCCTTCTTCCCACGGCCGCACGGGTCTGTGCAGGTTGCGATGCTGATCTCCATCATCAGCTCCTTCATGAATGTCGGCGAATCACAAGTCGCGACGCAGAGTCCAAGCGGCACTGACTCAACCCCTCATACCTACGCAATCCTACGCACCTTCAGCCTTCAGCTCAGGTACACGAAGAACAGGCTCAGCGTCATGGCGCAGGACCGCGCAGGTCTTCGGCTCTGCGGCGTGAGCGCCGGGCTCTTCGCGAACACGGTGCTCTTGCGCATGTTTCGGGGAGCCTTGAGTGTGAAGCTGCAGGTGCTTCTGTGCTGTGTCTTTGGGCTCTCGACCCATGTGATATATATACTGGCCACGAGCGCAACGGCCCTTTATCCAGCTGCCGTTTTGGGGGCTTTGGGGTCTTTGCTTGCGGTCTACGTGAGCACCTTGAATGCCAACGTTGCAACCATCTCTGGTATGCCTTTGGGCACAGTTCTGGGTGTCTTCACAAGCGTGGGACAGATAGGCATGATTCTGGGCCCCCCGGTCTTCTCCAGCGTCTTCTTGATTTCAATCCGAGATGTCTTTTGGGGCCACTCCTTCCCGCAGCTGGCCTTCTGCTTTGGCGTCGTCTTGAACTTGATTGTCGTTCGGCTTCTACTGGCGGTGCCCGAGGCTGCATACGAGGGCGCACGTCCATCGCTCCCCCGCGAAGTATCCCAAGATCCACAGGATGATCTCACAACCACGCCCTGATCAAGCTCTAAATCCGTGTGTGGCAGTGCGGCAGCTTGAAGGACCGTAAGCTCACAAGAGGCACTCACTTCAATGACGCTCCTCTCTGCAATTGCCTCGAGAGAAAGTGTAATGCGGAGCCATCGAAATCTGTGGGACTTCCCCATCAAGATAGCCGCAATGATTGATGTCATTGAGTCATTGATTCCAGTGAATTCCAGATGGGTTGAGCATTTAAATGGCGGGGTCCATACTCACATGACACTCAGCTCACAGAGTGGCATGGAGGATGGATGTCGTGAGGTCCTTTGCCAGGAAGAGCTTGTCGTTGAAATACATCCATACATACATGATTACATATCGACACACAGCCACACATACATCCATGCACACATACATGCACACGTGCATGCATACACATACACATTCACGTACACATTCACATGTAGATACACATCCACTTACACATTGACATGCACATACACATACACTTGGCACCTGACCTTCACACTTACTCGCCTGCTTACTTACTTGCTGACACACACACACACAGAAACACGGACCCAGACAAACCCAGACAGCCACCCACGCACGCAACCTAGCCAGCCAGCCACCCACCCACCCACCCACCCATCCACCCTCTCCCACAAACCGCGCAGGCTAGCCCTGGTAGTGTCTGCAAGAACTCGGCATGGACTTGGTAAGGGCACAAGAGATTGGCTGTGTACCGCACACGGCCCTAAGCATCCAGCCTTGTCAGCGGCACCAGCCAAAAGCAGGGTGTAACCGGCCAAGGCCAGATTGCATGATATTAGGGAAAAGAAACGCATACGTAGGTCGTATGGCATGCCAACAAGCGCAATAAGATGATTCGGATGCTAAAGATGTGCCTCCAGGGTCGGCGAAGCCAAAAAGTACTTTCAGGAGATGCGCGGTCTGGTGAACCTAATTCTTTTCGCAGCTGCCTGTGCTCTTTCCAGGTGCAAGAACGCCCTACTCTCACGCTTCCGCATAACTAACCGTACATGTACCAACCAATGGCACTGGCAGATTTGCAGCATTCT